TATTCCATTGTGGAATTATTCTTCTACAAACAAATGTGTAAACAAAAAATTCCTGGACACACAACATTTATCCTTGCAGGATTTTGGTTTTCCTCCGAAGGAAAAGATTGCAGCAACAGTGCTTCAACTGCTAGCAAAGTGTCAACTAGATAACTTAATAGGGCTTTTCCAGCTTTAATTTCTTGATGCTTGCACTCATAAAGTTTCATGGTGTTTAAAGTGCTTTAATCTTTCAGGGGACTTCTAAAGACTTCTATAAGATCAGATCCAAGTTAGAAATAGATTAATCACCGACACGATGAAGAAGAAAACACTACTCATTTCAGTCTCGAGTTGAGAGTACATATTCATTCCCTCATTCATTCAACAAATAGTCTCAGTGCATCCTATGTGCCAGGATTGTGAAAGTCCAGCCTCCTAACTCCTAATCAAACGAAATCCCTGGTATAAAGAAAAAAGAAGAGCAAACAAAATAAAACAAAAAGGTTAGGTGTAATGTATACACAGTATATGTGGTTCTCTGATCCACAGTGTAAAACAATACTTAAACAGAAGGGTGGAATGTGAAAGGAGGAGTGGGCTTGAGGGAATTCCTGTCCTTAGTGAGCAAAGAAATACTTTTCTCTTGCAGCTCCATGTCCTCTGTAGCGAGTCCATTAGCTTTGTTTTGAAGGACACGGGCAGACGGTGAGGACGACAGCCAACAGACTCTGCTTTCACTGTCTGTCTCACAGTGGCAGACCTTAGGCACCTGCACTGATGTTCCTCTGTGCTAGTTCTAGGTGTTCAGAATGCCAGCACCTAGAATAAAGATCTCTGGCAGACAGGAGAAAAACAGACATAATTTTGCCTGCACAAGCTCAGGGTATACTCACCTTCTCTGAAACTTTCGCACCAGGGAAATTATGCTAGACCTTGGTCATCAATGGGATTACTTCTGAAATCTTTATAAATTTAAACACATTTTGAAAGAACACATACTACAACATGAGGCCAGTATATTTGTGTATCCCCTGTCCTAGGACATTCTCGGTCTGTGGATAGGAAGAGGAAGGGTGTCACAGACGGAGCAGCTGGACCTGAGCCCAGGGACATATGGAGGGGAGAGGGACACTACTTTAAAGCAGTGAGGTGTCTGTCTGTGAAAGGGACTCAGTAACCCCGTCTTTAACTTCTGGCATTAGCTGGGGGTGGGGATCACGTCCTAGCTGTTTACATTTTTCTACTTTCTTTAAAAATTTCTGTATTTCATTCCCAGTGAGCCATCTGTAAATATAATCATCATTTTCATCCAAATAAACATGCATGTAAGCCTTCATATGTCCTGGACAATGTGCTAAACAGTTTACACATAAGGTCATGACATTTTCACCTAAGTTTTGTAAAAGCAATATTATTAAACAGATTTTAGAGTTCACAAAAGTGAGGCTGAATATGCATGTAAATCCAGCCTAACTCAAAGATCCTCTCACTGTACTAACTGTATTTGTAATAGCAATTCTCCAAGTATGTTTCACCCAGGGTAAATCACGAGAAAAAAACACTCTGGGGTCACATAAGTATGAGACCAAACTACCCACATCCCCAGACTGACAATGCACTCATGATATCAAAGTCCCTGTGCAGTCTGAAATGAAAAAGTCTATTTAACTTTTTTATACGAATATTTCACAAAATTTAGTTGACTGTTAAGAGAATTTTTTCTCCAGTAAAGCAAACCAGGGACCAAACCACTGGGAAGCACTGACTTATAGTATATTGAGGAAACTTTGTTAACTAGAAGTCAGTTTACTTAGAATCAAAGAAATGTAAACCTTACTGTATACTCTAAAATCAATGTTTGTCACAGTGAAAGCATGGGCTAATTGGGTTGTGAATTCAAAGAAATGGGTCCTGACTAGTATCTGGAGAAAAGAAAACGAGTAGAGAGAAAATCCAAGGTTTGTTGCATTCAGTGGGGTAAAAATGGTACTGACTTGTAAAATCTTTACTGATCACGATGTAAGTGGAATTCTTTATATGGTCACGCCAAACTTTCTGAAACCATATTTTCCTATAAGCCATGTGAACTGCTTGTTGTGCTGGGATGTAGGTGGTAACAAATGTCTGTATGTCGTAACACTAACACAAAAGGACTTGTGTAACACCATGGCTTAATACATTGCTATCACTGAAAAAGAATTTTAGAGGTGAAATAACTTATAAAAGAGAAACGGAGATAAAATCTCGTGACTTATCAAGGTCAGTGCTGATAGTGATATAGGAATGTTACACGAGCGCCACATGATATAAGGGGATATCATACCTCCCACCCAGCTAGTTGTCTCCTACACTGAGCTCATGTTCCCCAAAACTGAAGAATGAGTTGTAAGGAACAGTGGAGGTTAAGAGTAGGAAATACTTATTGAGCAGGAGAGATACAGCTCTTGAGAGGAAGGAGGGGGTCCCAAGTGAGTTGGCGAGGACCCATTTTTCAGAGAAGTTTTATAGAACACAAGCACCTGTGTACAACATGGGTTATAGCTTTGATTAAGATTACAAGCACAGCAGCGTAGGCAATATCCAGTGGGGAAGCAGGTCACACAGCAAGTGCACATGGAGAAAACAAAGGGTGTTTTGGGAAGGGATGAGTCCCAGAGTGTTGGTCACCCATCCAGGTGACTGATGTCTATCTAGACTTTATTAGTCCAAGTGTTACCACTTATTTTAGGCCTGGTCATTACGTCTTTATCTTGAAGCCTGGCCTTCAAGGGACGCTCCTCAGCCACAGTTGTAAAGAGTTTTCATCTCTGCGCTCTCTGGAGGGCCCAGCCCTATCTGACTGCCTGTAATAATTTCTACCTAATTTAGCTGTCTATACTAATAGGGCCCAGAATCCAGGTCTTCTGATTTGTACTCTAGTTTTCTTTTACTTGTTGGTGCACTGGTAAAATCTGATTTGTACTCTAGTTTTCTTTTACTTGTTGGTGCTTATTTATAGCATGTTTAGGGTTGTTTTTAAGGGATAAGAAAACCTGGTGTCAATTTTAGCAAATCATTCCTGGATAGCAAGTCAATTACAGTTTATAAAAATGCTACACGCTTAACTTCAAAGAAAAAGTAATTTAGAGATACTTCAATGCCGGGGTCTAATCCCAATTCCAACTAATGTTACTACACTTTGTTACTAGGTGGGGCCCCCTAATTGTCTGATTTCTCAAGTGTGGCTCTAAATGTCCCGGGCACACGTCTTCCAGAGGACTTAGCAACGAACACGTGAGTGAACACGGATCTTGCACTGTGTAAGTTACAGGCACGGCCTTTACTTCAGCTCTCTAGGAATAAACAATGAATCAGGTACAGGAAACCCTCTGAAACATGCTGTTTTTCAAAAGAACAGGGGCTGCAGCTCACAGTAAAGTAAGTAAAAAGCTTCTAGGCGGTCTGTTTAGGGCCCCTGGATGGTTGTTCAGGTGCAGTCCGAAAGGTCACACCTCCAGCTGCGGAGGTCTGGGCTAGGGGTCCAGCTGGCCTGGGGCTCGGAGCCCTTCGGAGTCGCCCAGGGCGGAGTCCTGCGGCTCTCGGGTCGGTGTCACCTCCTTCCGGGCAGCCCCGGGGCACGGGGCAGAAATCACTCGATAACTTAATCTCGGTAGCAGCGGAGCGCTCCGAGGCCTGTGCGCCCTGAGATAAACCGAGACATCCGCCGGAGAGGGGAGCCGGCGCACCCCCAGCGCCCATCCAGAGGCTCGCAGTAAACAGGGGCGGAGGGAGCGAGCCCCTCCTGGCGCGGGAGGCTGCGGGGCGCAGGAAGAGTCCCCGTCCTCCGCGGGGTGCAGGCCCCCCGCGGTCCTCAGCTAGGCCCCGGGGAGCAGCGGCGCGCGTGACGTGGGCAGAGGGAGGGGCCGGCGAGCAGCCTGAGGAGCCCCCCCGCGCGTGCTGCGCCCCCTCCTCCCCTGCCCTTCCTCCCTCTCCCCTTGTGCCCTTCCCTTTCCCTCCTCCCTCTCCCCTCCCCTTGTCCCCTCCTACCTCCCAGCCTCCCCCTCCCCGC